CCAACATACTTTACATAAACAGTCATTAAAGCTGGTAAAAAAGTCCAGATTTATGACAAGATATAAGCTTTTCCACTTCAGAAAGCTTATGCTCTTTCAGGTTAGCTCAACTCTTACATGTAAATATGTGAAATGACACTGTCTTGCTTTAATGTGAAAATTGATTAGTTATTTAACAATTTATTTAAAAATGTGGATATTGCTTTCAATGAAAAATCTGACTTCACATTACTGTTTGATATTTACTTGGAGAAGCTACACAAAAAGTTGGAGACATTTTAGCTTTGCCAGCAGAGAGAGATTTTTGCAACAAATAATTATTTCAAAATGAAGTGGCAAATTAAACATAAAATGTAGAACTCCTGAAGGAATTCTCTACACCACTAAAGATCTGCAAGTCCTACCTTCTGTAAAACACTTGGGCAAAACACTCCCGATGTAAGAAAACTGATTTTATGAAATTATTGGTAAACTTCAGACAACCAAATTGGTGGGTACTTTTGTTACTTTCAACCTCCATAGTCAAACATCCTAATTAAACAGAAGTATTTCTTGATAGTTTGAACTTAATGGCAAAACTGAAAGTCCTGATATTAAAATCATGGCTTGACACTCAGAGCCCCTTCCCCTGCTTCCATTAGGAGTGATGGGAGTGGATCAAGTATTCACACACACTAATTTAGAGGACCAGGCCTCTCAATATCAGAAGTTTTCCTCCAACACAGATTTCTGCTGCCACAGTAAAACAAAGGTTAGAAACCAGCTCTGAGTGTGTTCTCCCTGTCATCCCAAATTTGGGCTGCTCTTATGACACACACGTTTCCCTTCCTCTACGTGTTTACAACTTTTGACACTGCCTATCTTGAATTTTATCTTCTAGAGATCAGATTTCCACTGGAATTAATAAGTAATTTAGGAAATTAATTAGAAAATACTTCCAAAATTGGATACAACAAAACATTCGCCTTAGGTACCAGAATCTCAAAACTAAAGCTTTCTTCCTGTTATATAAAACTATTTAATAACTGTACCTAGTCACACAGGTTGCCTAATTTTATTTAATATTACATAAAACTAAATATGCTGTTCTGAACTGTAATCAAAGTATTTGTTTAGCATCTCAAATGTGCCTTCAGGATTTTAAGGAACTTTGCCCCTTTTTAACATAAGAAACCTTGACAGCTAAGAGAATAATCTAATATGATTGTTAAGTTAAATTAGTCGGTATCAAATGCTGTGCAAAGCTTCATATGTGATTCAGAGAAGAGGAAACAGCCTTCTGCTTTCAGAACACACTCTGGAGTAGATAAAGCTTCATTGATAATATATGGCTGAAAGGGCTGTAATTAAATCTTTGGTCAAGAGATCAAAGCCAACAAGTTTCACCAATATTTAATTGGGGTTGGTGGCGGTGGGGAATCAGTCCCAGCATATTCCATTCCCAAATTCCAAGAACTTTAACTGACACAAATGTTTACTATTCCCATTCTGAAATTGTTCTTCATGTAAGGAATATTTGTTTGTTACAAATATCACACAGACCTCATTGATTGAGTGTCCTATAAAATGCTTTTTATTTGCAAATGCTTAAAATTCAGACTCTCTACAGTCTATCCTTTTTTTCTATGGTAGCTGGATAGAAGAGCAGTTCAGGTAAACTTAAAAGCTGAAAATGCCCTCCAAAATGTTCCTTTAATGAACACTTCTGACAGCTTTAGTTCATTCAACCAGCAGATTTCCTCTCCTCGGCAGAGAGCTTATTTTACCCTGAAAATCTCTTGCCTGCTACAAAAACAGTGTTTGTTTATTCAGTGCAGTCAGTGAAAGGTGTACTTTGCAGAAACCCCAAAGTAAAATTAGCTTGCACTCAGCCTTTTAATTAAATCTTATATATTAGACATGTAAAAAGTGAGTCTTCCCCAGTTTAAAGCTGCAGAATTACATTAACTAAACATTATTACGAAAATACACCCAGAAACCTCAGACTGTAGAAATGCTGTGCTCTGAAAGGAAAGACTTAATTAAGTTGCCAATTTAAGATTACGAGGAGGGAAAGCATAGCATCTCTTTTTCAGGTTGGTTCATACCCTGTACAATAATTCACTTTCAAATGCTTGTAACTCTATCAGTTTGTAGCTTTTGAGCTGAACTTCCTGAGCAGGGTGAATGACTTCAAGAGTTCAATGTTTTCTCTCACACTTCTTTTAGAGAAGATTTTGAAAAGCTGCTGTAGCATCCCTCAAACTTCTTGCCCTGGACATTCAGAAGCAGTCTGTCTGTGAAGGACAGAGCCTTCACCATTCCTGTACCAACAGTCTAAATTTAACCAGGTGGACCTCGAGAAAGCTTAACTTGTACCAAACCTGAAACATGGTTTTCACATTTATTTCCAAAATCTGTTTGCAAGCACTATCACTGAAGTAGCTGAATATTCAGCTTAATATACTGAATATACTTAATAACCTGTTTTCAGCTTTTCTGTTTCTTGTTATAACTCCTCAAAGACAGCTATAAGAAAATATTTCACAAGGTAGTACTGCTTAGTTAAATAAAAATCTTACTTCTCAAGGTATGGCTCAGCTGTTTCATTGTGCAATCTCGGATTAATCACAACTCTGTGATAAGACTTTTTTATTTCCCTCCAGCCTCAGTTAAATGTGGAAGGACATCCTTATCTCGTCCACAGTGGGTGAGGTATTAACACAGCAATCTGTACCTCTGTGGCTCCACTCCCATTGCAAAAACTAAACCAAAAAAGTATTTAAAGTTTTATCTTACAAATGCTAAGATGGTCATGAAAAAACCCTCTACCACCCGTATTTGATATTTGGTTGCATAAGGGTAAACCAAGTATTCTCTGAAGGGTAAAACATTGACCCTTGAAATTGCAGCTGAAATTCTTTTATATACACACTTTGCCTATGATCATCCAAAAGGGGCCTCCATGACCAGTGCCAATGTTTCTCCAGAGGGGATTTGCAATGCCAAATGTAGCTGTGTGGCAGGTTTGATGCTCTGCACTCTCCTAAAGAGCATTCTGGGGGAGCACAGCAGCTGCTGGATCTCCCCACCAAGAGTAAAGAAATGCCCACTCCTCCTTTTCCCCTGAGAGGAAATGGACCTCCTGAAGAATCCCCCTCCCTGGCACATGCCATGATCACCATGATTTCCATCTGCAGACTTTTGTGGAGGCTTTTTCCACAGATTTTAAACCAGGAGCAGCACTACTCCTGTACATGATTTTATGGCAGAAGTATTCCTTTCAGGAATTGTAACCTAGACTGATAAGCTTAAAACAGTAACTAAACCGAGCAATTTAAGTTTCTTCTGTTCCATATGACCCTCACATTAGCAAAAATGCCTTGGGAAAGAAATCTGAGAAATAACGAATATACTCAGGTCTTACTGGAAATCAAAGCTTTGATCAAATGAGAAAACTTGGACTCAATTTTCAGTCCTCCAAGATGGATACAGATTTATCATGACTGCAGTTTCAAGGCAATTTTGTTCTTTTTGCCACTTATTTCGACCCTACAAAATTAATTTTAGAGAGAGTGCACCAGTGGGTATTTGCTGTTCCTCTGGAGAATTAAAAAAGGCTTGAGGACATTCTTTATGTCACTGGTAAGAACTGGTATCACATGAAGCCAGCCCCAACACATCCTTTAACTCCAGCAGGTCACAGCAAAGAGCATTTCTTCCTTTCTAAATAGAAAAGAACTACATATTTCACTTCAAAGTATCAAGTCAAGCCCAAAGCTTATTCTAATACAGAAGTCAGACAAGAAGCTTCTACTGTCTCAGGGAAAATATCTGTAACTGAACAAAACTGAAAAACCGGCTTCTCAGTATTTGCCTTGGGACTCTCACAATCAGCAAGGAAACAATTTGAGCCTGGCTTCATGTTTCAAAAATTGTGGCATATGGGTCAAAAGCATCTGGAAAGTCAGAAGCATTTCAGAACCGGGTACCATGTGTCTGTACTGCATGTGTACACATGATGGGAAAGCTACGTGTTTAATCACATTACATTATGCTTGGCTTCTTTTTTGCCCCCTTTAATTCAGGCTCTGAATGAGGAACACTATGGGACACTAAAATTACTGTTGGTCCCTCCCAGCAAATTATTTTTCTCTATTTAAGTACAAAGCATTTAAAATTCAACCAATTCATCTTGACAAAGTTAACAGCCCAGCTGAGTAAAGGAAGTATCAGACTTCAGGAACAAAGATATTACAGTTTCAGAGGTCTTAGTGACCACAAGAAGTCATCTGGAATTCAGGTGTAAGAGCTACTCATACCTCCAGAAGTACCAAAAATTGGATACACATTTCCTTAATTTTATGTGACTACCAACATCTTAAGGTATCAAACAAAAGCTACATTAAAGAAAAGCACACTGATCACTTTAATGTCTTAGTTTAAGTAACACTAGATTAGCTTGGCAACAAAACCAATGCATATTAAACACATTTATCTAGTTTTTAGATACACAGGAATGTAATTTACTGATAATTACTCCATAAAGCTGAGACAGTCATAACAACACTGTTTCTCTTGTCACCTTGGTGTAACTAATGAAGCAACATCTCCAGATTTTAGCACGTTCCAAACCCCAAGATGTACATTTATTTATCTCAGAGACTGGTGATTTATAGCATCTCATAAATTAAAAGCCCTCATTTTTATAACAGTCAAGTATTCAGCTGTAAGGGCACTAGCAGGGGTAACAATTTAAGCACTTCTCCAGAAGTCAATCAGTGTATTTGTACAACACGTGGGAAAACAATTTCCTAGCAAACTGATACTGTATGTAAAACCTGAAGTGTTTGTGAGGTTTAACAGGTATTTTCTTGCTGAAATTCTGTCTTGCCACATACAGAGTATCCAGAATCAACTGGGGTTATAGACTCTTTAATGAAGAATAGAAACAGTTTCATGAATGCTTAAAAGATGGCGTTTTGTTTGTGTAATTACTGGAGAAATATGCTCCAACTTACCTAAATAGGGAATACAAGGAGTCATCTTCAAGCTGCTGATATAGTCTCTGAGCCTTTTGTAATTATCTTCTTTACTCATAACATACTCCAACTTGTCAAAGGTGGCTTTATCCTTCCGGCTCAGTAACTGGGGAAAGAAAGAAGAAGGGAAAACCAGGTAAACTTAAATTTGATCATTATGATTTCTCTGTTATCCTTATAAGCACACATTTCCACTTGCCCACTGTTGTTGTTATTGGCTTGGGGTTTTTTTTAATACAGCTGCCTCAAAATTACAGCATTTACTCCATAAGGATGAGCAGGCTCTTTGGATCACCTCGTGACATGCTGACCCTCTGTGACTTCCCCTTGTGCTCACAGGGCAACTCCCATCATGCCTCCACTTCCTGCATTAAGGGAGAAGAGCACAGAGAAGCCAAGCACATTAAAGGTGTTTTCTGTGAGGGTAAGGAAGGACCTAGTTCTTAGTTCTTCAGTTTTGGAGCTGCTTCTTTTGTAAATAATTTTTCTTCCTCTGTCTCTTGGGTTCAAAGGATGCAAAGAATACTAAAGAGAAGTACATGTGCAGAGACAATAAAAGCTAAGGCTGACAGTTTATAGCAGCAGGAAAGGACTTAGAGCCTTCTAAATTGCTTTTTGCTTTCTAGTTATAGTGTGCCAACCCTGAGCACAACCTTTTTGAAATGCAAGAAAGGAGTGATGAGGTTTCAGGGTGCTGGCAGAGTGGGACAGGACTCACCTCCCTTCAGATTTTAATGATTATTTGCTTACATCACCCAAATCCTTGCTGGTCCATTTACAATTCCTTTACGTTAATTGGAGAGAAGTTGAATATTCTATTCTGTGACCTTTCTGGCAAAGTTCACAACTCTTTTCCCGTTTTGAATGGGGCAAATCACACACTAAAAGCAGCATTTTTTATTCTCCAGAGTTGAGAGTGTGTGCAGGCAACAGGCGAGACAAATTTCAGGCAAATTCAGACATACCGTCAGAAGACATGAATTTCATCTTTTTTAGGAACATTAGATTACCAAGCAAATATTTAATGGCTCCTTTCTACTCTGGATTCCAACCATATTAGGTGGCTTTTTTTTTATTATTTTTCAGGGGATGAATATACTTGGATTTATTTTCCTGACTACATAAGTCGAGTTGATTGAGGGTTGCTACAAACCATCTCAGAAATGCAGAAGAAATCTTTCCTTGTTGAAGGTTTTGGAGAGTTACTGTATAACTTACTCAAATGACTTGGTGACTCCAATAACGGCTTGAAGTGCCTTTTCTTGCTTTTAATACACAGAAAGCCAAAGGCTTAGAGTTACTTCTAGAATTTATAAACTGAACCTCCAGGGCAAGGACAACTACATCAGTTTGCAGTGCACAGCACTGGGAGCTCTCCTGCAACTTCAATTTGCAAAGGTTTATGTAAGATGAGGAAAAGCAAGTGCTTGGGGTTATATGAGAAATCAAACACCTGCAGAAATGTGGGAGAAGTTACCTGGCATTTCAGAGGCTGGAAGAGGAGTGAACTTTAAACACTGATACATGTGCCAACAGCAAACAAATAATCCTCCTAAGTGCAAACACGTGCATAACCAAGCAGGAAAAGAAACTGGGGACTCCCAGTTCTGAATGGCATCATCATGGTAGTAACTAATATAGTTGTTATTGATTTATAGTTATAGCTACATTTATTTAGAGTCATGTGCAAAAAGAGATTTAAAAATCAATTTGGCATCACAGTTTCGTAAAACTTGTTTAGGCATCAACTCCTTGACATGACAACATCAGAGAAACAGAAGTTCTCCTCGAGATCATTTTGAAGTGTTAATTCCATTAACATTTCCTTGGAGAGATTTTTGGTATGCAGAAGCAATGTCTTACTTAACTTTGCATTTGGAAAACCTGCCCAGAATTCCAGATGAGTATCTCAGCAGGAGTGAATTATATTCAGTTTTGGTAACGTTTATCAACTGAACAACATTATGATGCAATTATCAAAGAAACACTTTTTGTAACATCCAAGGACACACTGACATGCCTTCTGTGAAAATTTTCACCTCTTTTTAATGATCTATTTATATGTATCCCTTGCACAGGAGTATTTCAGTCACCTGAATGTTTCTGTCACACTTCATGTCACAGCTCATCTGAAACAGTTGGAAAAATACACAATGTATGGCTGATTCAAGGATTATTTTCTAAGCTCTGAGGCATCAATGAGCAAAAGTAATTCTTGATATTCTTCTTATCAAGGATACTATATAAAAATTATATTAATGCCAGTCAAAAAACCAGATGTCAAATGAACATGGTTCCAAAGAACACTGTTCTTTCACAACTGTGCAAACGCGGAAGTACAAATATACTGTCTAATGCAGTTATAACTATGAAAATAATTCTTAAAACTCTGAGGAGAAGTGATAGATTTAGTTATCAGTCAGAGAAACAACAAATCTCTTTATGGCAACTGAATCAAGTGTTTCTGAACATCTGCTCTCCATAGCAAAAGAAAAATTCCAACAGCATAAACCCCTTAACGATTAAAATATGACCCACTTTGGCATTCAGAATTTTCCAGCAACTAAATACAAAATAGCTTCTGGCCAAATTAGAAGCCTCTGCATTTAGCAGAATCTGCAGGGAACTATTTTTCAAAGGAAAATATTTCTATGCCAGAATGGAAAAAAAATATTCAAGAGGAAACCATAGACTTCAGGGGAACTAGGAGCATTATGTACGCAGCAGAATAAAATTAAAACTATCTGTAATAATTACTGCATCCTTGAAAACAGACTGTTGTATTTTCCTACAAATAAATTAAGGATGTTGCATTTTCCTAAGAATAAATCAACCCCCCTCTGCTGTGCTGCTGCTCCACTCACCGCCCACGTCTTGGTCAGCCTGAAGATCGGAGCACTCTGCAGGCCTGACACCACTGCCATGAGTGCATGGAGATTGTTCAGCTCATACAGTTTCTGAGGACAAAAAATACATATATAACCACAATAAACAACATTCCAAGTGCTGTCGATAATGATTGCAGAATAAACAATATAAAAACGAGGAAATCTTGCAAGTTCTAAAATGAAGAGTTACAGAGAACTGCTGTGCATCCAGACCACTTTTATGGAACCTCCTAATTTTTCATTACTGTGTCTACATGGTTTTGAATTAGACTGTACTACCTGTTTCATAGCCCACAGAGAACCCTTAAAAATACCTATATAGACCTACATCTTGAGTAATACATTAGAAGTGCCAGAAATTTTCTGACATTCAAGCCCAACAAATTCCTTTCATAGCATTTGACAGTATTTTAGAACTTAACGTGTCAGAAAGGATAACCCAGTGGTGAATGATGTAATCATGGCAGTACTTAAAAGTTTATGCAGCTACCAAGGCTGCACCCAAAAAACAGTGTTGCAGGATGAAATCAAGAAGGTAAATTTCCAAAGCCACATACCTGGAGTACTCCTCTCACTGAAGGATAATTTGGGGGTATGACAACTAACCAGTAGAAAGCAACAACCTGACCAAAACTGAGCAGAGAAGCCATCAGGGTAAAGGAATTTGCTTTAAAACTCTCTACGCAACACTGTTGTTAAGTGCTTTTTCTTACATATTTGGAATTTCCCTCCTTTTCCTTTTTCCTTTCCCTCTGTCTCCAAAACCATCAATCTGCTTTGGCCAATTGGTCCTGTCACAAAAGCTTAAAAATGGTCTGGAAGAAAATGTTGTTACCTCTTCTGCAATATCAATTGTTCTGACAGATATGAGCACCCAAATATCCAAACTACATTCAGGCATTTTTGGTGGAGTGCACACAAATTGAGGTTTTACCCCTAACAAAGAGACTCTGATATAGAGAAATGGATACTCAACCACTGTACTGCAAATCCTGCTGAAGATATTTGGAGCACTCACCAAGGTAGGTCAGTATTCCAGACAGATAAAATAAGGAACCGTTCCTATTCACAAAATGGTGGAAGTCTTTTTCCTGCTTGAAACTTAGCTTACCAAAGTTTTCCTGCTTAGGAGGCCTTTCACGAGGTAACAGGACAAAACCAGCTGGACTAACATGATAATAAATGTTGAATATCAGAGGAGACCTTCTGTTTGGAAGGATGAAAGCGATACCGCAAGGATGGTTTTCTGGATAACAGTTTTGGAGCAGGGCAAATGATTTCCTCTTACAGCTTCTACAGAACAAAGTACTCATGGGCATTACTCAGGAATGCCACTTTTAATGGCACCCTAAGAGCAATTCCAGTCTGGGTGCTCAGCACCCCACAGTTCTACTGACACTGGAAGTCTGCCCATGCCAACTGATGAAGTGCTTCCCTCTACTCATCCTCTTTTGGGAGGATTCTTTGGTAACCACATGTAAAGGGCAAAATCACTATTTTGTGGGGCAAGGTGGAAGGGGGTGGATATTTGTCCTGCACCATAGTCCTGCTATTCTTCCAAGTAGTCCTGCTGGAGTTTGTCCCTCCACTTACACAATAATCCTTCTTACTCCCACACAGATCCCCAAACAAGGTAAAGTCCTTTCTCCTCAAGGACAGTGTAGCTGATTAAAAAGGAAAAAAACGGGCTTTCCCAGCTGCTGCCAGCATTGAAACAGAAGTCATCACCTGCCAGGATAGTCTGGGAACTCTGGGGGAATGTAACTATTAGGTCCAATTAGTTCATGCATAAAGCAATATGGATGAGACACCACTAAAGGACTGCGAGCTCTACATTAGATGTCAGCCCAAAGAATTCACTGTGGAGTGGATTCACAGCTTCTCTGAAGAAAAGTTCATTAGTGTGACCTCTGGCACCAAGCTGCTTTGATACCAGCTTTGGGGTACACAGGAAATCCTTCCAACAGCACTAACTGCAGGAACTTCACGTCAGCAGCTCTATGTGAACCAAGTCAAGATAACAAGTAAGTTAAAAAGTTTCTTGTTTTTTGTTACTGTGATTTTTACAACTCCCAGGTAAGCCAAGGTCAATTATCTAATTGTTAGAGCCTGTAACTGTCTCCAGACCAGCAGCATTCCAGCAGACACTGCTGTCTGTAACCCACAGGGAGGTCAGGCACCTTCAGGGGCTCTGCCCAAAGCTGAGCCTACAACACCCAGCCCGGGCCAGTTCCACCCCAGTACAAACCAAAGCTGAGCCCATCTGGCTTCCCAGATCTGTTCTGCACCGTGACCACACAGGGGAGCCTCTCCCTCCTACGGATCACAAGGCAAAATTTGTATATGTTTGTATTTCAAATGAAAAAAAGAAAACCCAAACAAGAACTGATTTTTAAAAATACATGAGATGAAGCTACATTAACTCACCAGATATCAAAGGACACTTAAGAGAGATCATTCAGAGTTTATGACCACAGCATCATTACTGAGCAAAGCCTGTAGAATCTTACAAAATTAGCTTGCTTTGCCAAAATTTATAGTCAAATGTTACAGAAGTAAAATATTATTTCATTAAAAACAAGACAAGGAACGCATTTGAATACAAAATTATTGACATAAAGTTGTACATGTTTTGTGACAGGTAACCCAAGGCAGCCACAGCACTCAGCTGTAGTTACAGGCACCCACCATCTGACAGCAAACACTTGAAAAACATCCCCCTCTTCTCACTACAGTGACGAAGTTTCACTCTGCTTTGAAGGGCCAGGACTCTGGTTCACCTACACATCACTCAAGGTTTGCTGACCCTTTTCTTAGGAGTGTCAGTCCAAAAGGCTTTAGGAAACATTGAGAGCTCCAAAATGTTTTTGGAATTCAAGTATATTTTTGAAACCATATTTATTAACTTGGTATTATTCATGACACAATTGGAATAAGAGATAAAAAAATCCTTTCCTTCCAATGGTAAAGGCAAACAAACCATTTCTGTTCTGACTGATGCTGTTTGAACTGATTCTACACACAGCATTTTGGTTTAACCAATCTAAAAATCACATCAGGTAAATTACACTCTTTTATAAATAATATATGAAATAAAGCATCTTTGCATTACCTTAATTAAACTAAATCAAGTTTCAGATAAATATTTCCCCAAGTGTATTTTTGAACTGACCAACTTAGTTACAAAACCTTTAATTGTGGTGAATCCCACACACCCCTTCCCAACCCAAATTCTTACCTTTGCAGTTTTAATGTAGTGGCTCAAAACCTCAGCTCGTATTTTCAAAGTCTGTGCATGCAGAATCTCTCTAACAACCCAGAAGCTTACCTAGAAGGTAGAAAAATTCCCTTTTAGAAAATACAGAGTTTCAACATAACACTTTGAGTAGTTTTATTTATTTTTATAGAAGTGCAGTCTATGCAAACAGCCTTGATTTCAGGCTGAGCTCGAGGGTGAGATCTCACAGACACAAACCAAATGGCAAGACTCTCAAACTTCAAACAATGCCCTCCCAGGAAAACAAAATCATGAAGAAATTTTATTAGAAGTCTACAAATTGAAGGAATATAAACACTAAAACTGAGTTATATTCGTCGGTTTTGCTTGTCCACAACTTCAAAGCTGCACTACCCAACTCTCAGATGAGTTGAACAGCTTCAGCTACAGTTCACTGACATTTCCAACACCTCCAAAAAAAAAATTAATCCTGAACAAAACTGGAACACAAGGTAGAAAGTCCCTGCTATAACCTGGTTTATAGTTTGTACTCTTATTTCTGGCTGTACCAATCACCTGTCAATTGACAGCACGGTACCATACTCCTGGGGAAGTTTTACAGGATTAACTTTGCTGCATTTCATAATTACTGGAATGACTCAGAAAACCTATGTTTTAAAAGTGTTTTGTTAACATGTCTAAATTCTAATATTTTCTCTTCTCTGCTCCTCCCCCTCGCCCACCCTCTGCCCCCAAAAAGAATGATAAAAAATAAACACCTTCATAACTGTAATAAAGCAGCAAAGAATTAGCCAATAGGAACAAATACTGCAGCTTTTATTCATGTATTCACTACAAGTTAGGAAAAACTGAATTATCAAGATACAGCATGACTGGTATTTACAAAACTACTGGAAATGGTGTAGGAAGAAATGTACCTCTCATACCCAAACAAATTTCAACCTGTCACGTTGCTTTGATTTTTAAGTGATGCTAAAGAGCTTCTTGTAAACTAACATTGTGTGCGTGTTCAGGTTCCTGCCCAAAACTTCAATTAAAAAAATGAAACATCCTCTTTCACTTTGTCCACTATGACAGTCTTAACAGAGAACAGCATGAGAAGATCCACATCCCCAAAAGGATTACATTTGCAGTGAAGTTACAGTGATCTGATGACAACTGGGATGTCAAAACACAACAGCTCTTTGGAACTGAAAAATGAAAGAATGACAAGAAAACCCACAAAAAAATCCCCACAAACATCTTGCATGACAAACACTTTCCTTTGGTCTGTCTGTCTAAGGCTGTATTAGCCAGGAAAGAATTCACCATGGAGCTCAGGTTTCTGTTTCCTTTCTTTTTTCTTCATTTTCTTTCCATTCCTTTTTTTTTTAAGCAAACTATCTCCAGATAAACTGTGTTGTCCTCACAAACAAAAAATGGTTCCCCATAAAATACAGAAGTACTGAATACATGAAATATTTGACAGTACTTCAAAATTCTGTCAAAAAAAAAGTTTAACCTCAGTTTGATGCTCTGCTGTAGCTACACAGCTTGAGAAAAACAACTTTTTTCCCTTGGCTGACCAACGAGTTTCTAAGGAGATGCTTTCCCTTTGAAGATCAAAGGAATTTAAATTTTTAACATAGATTTTTGTACCATAAAGAATCAGGGAGAGACAACACATGCCTTAAAAGCCCAAATCTCTTTGATTTCAGGTTAACAGAGTGTCCGTGTAACAGGAGAATGCTTTGACAGCCCAGACTGTCAAACACTTGCTCAAAACACTGGAAATGCTCAAGCATTTTCATGAGGATGAAAAAACCAATTTATTCCGTTGGTCCTGACTTCTGTGAGAGTTCACTGGCATCCCAGTGACTGTGCCACACGAGTGTCCTTGTTTATCCAAGGAAGCCTGGTTTCCATCCCAATCCCAGCCACACCTATCCCAACACTTCCAAGCTCTTGCAGGAAAAAACAAACCCAAACCAGAAGGAAATGCAGAACTTCCTTGGAAGCTCAGAGCCAGCCAGTCCCTTCAGAGACAGAATAAGCAGGAGATACAGAATTAAACACACTTCATCACTTCCATTGCAACCACTTTCACTTTGCTTTGATGTGTTTTTACCGACACAGACACTGGTTTTTGGCTGGTCTTGTCTATTAACTGGCATCTTTAGACAGCCCCATAATCTAATGTATTCCAAGCACTGAAAAAGAAATAATTTAAACAGACCCTTTCATTAATTCTTCATGTAAATCATAAGTATTTGTTCCATATATTGTGGTTATCTTGCTTGAAATCCTCTCTCGCTGCATTTAAATGTTACTCTACCAATATCAATCAGCTGGATGACTCATTGCCTTCGGTACCAGTTCAAACCAGCATTTAAACCCTTGACATATAATTGTACATTTATATTCTTCCCTGTTAAGGTCAACCTAGAAAAACAGGCTTAACTTTAGAACATATCTGTTCTTAAATCACATCTTGAGCTTTTTAAATTATCCCATGTTTGCCTTATCTGAAATACTAATTTTGTTATACTGGTGCTTTGAAGTTCATAGTCGTTGCTTCCAAAGCTAGTTATGCTTTCTGTGCTAATTAGAAGATAGGCAAAATTGAGAACCTCTCTTTAATAGTTTCTCAATTTCTCTTCAAAGTATCTTCCAGGCACACTAAACCTCTTCGCCGTTCCATTTCTTAATTTCTGATAACCCCAGTCAAACCCACTGCAATCCAGCAACACTACGATATTCAAGACAAACTTCTCCTACACATAACGCTTGCATTTGGGTTAAAAAAAAAAGACACAAAAACCCCAAAACCAAACCCCCCAAACCAGAGTCAGTAAAACACAAAATCTGCCTTTTGCAAGTGGGATCTTTTGCTTTAAAACTGGTCCAGTGTTTTTAATCTAGTTGACTAATTTCTCTGATATTTTGAGCTCTGTGGCAGCACAGTAACATTCCCACTCGAATAAAAACCTCAAGGAGGAGGTTTTCAATAGAGATGATCTGACAACCAAGAGAGCAACAGTGACCTTGACATAAACAGCTACCTTGGATAAACTGTGTTTGTTTGAAACATATGATAAATGCTTATTTTCAGAACAATGATCTAGGCAGTAAACTTGGCAATTGTGCCCTCTGACAGATTTACCAGGAACAGCAGCAGTGTGCAAGCACACAACTCACTTTCAGAAGGAAGCAGAAAAAGGCAGAAATCGGAGTTTTAAAAAAAATAAGAAATTATTTATAAACAATACTCATTAGTAAATGTGTAGCTCTATGGAGTACCACCTACCAATGTATTCACTGACAATAAGAGAGTGCTGGCATGGAACAATTCAATTGATTTCTCTTCCCTGAACTGGATCTGTTTTTACCACACACAATTATCACATAACTCATGCTGGAAATACCCAACTGCATCCTCAGTGGACTGCAATCACCTACACAGAATCACTGCTGCTTCCAAAATGCTACCAGCAGATCAATCTGCTGTGAAGAAGCTGTTAGTGATTTAATATTCTCTTTACTCAAAAAGTGAGAGCTGTTCATGGTTTTCTTTTGGTAGGTTGGGGGGGAGAAGAGACAGATGCATAATGCATAATTTAAACCCTGGGAAATTTCAAAGGTTAACAGAAGTTTGAGGAAATATGTTCCTGCCTGAGAAGGCCAAAGGTTGCAGTGATTTTCCTGATTCCTTATTTTAGGACTAAGGTTTAGAACCCCCCAGGTAAGTGGAGCTGAAACAATCCTTGTCCCTGTCTACTCCTACTATACACAAATAAGACTCATCAAGGCTTTCCTTGATGCCAGAAGTGGAAATCCTTATTCCCATGGTAAGTTTTCCCCTCCTTCCTTCTGGCTGCTGAGCACATTTTACCAATTCTTCGGTATGTATAAAGTACTCTAAATAATAACAAATGAGAAGTGGGGTCCTTGATGAGGTAACTGCCTAACATGGCCTTTACTACAAAAACAGCCCAGAATATTCAGCAAAATGAACATTTCTTGGAAGAGACAACTTCCATGAATAACCAAGACAGCAAATAGTGGAATCAGTGCTGTATCAATGAAATTAATATCAAAAGTTTTTACACCAGTCTATACACTCGAACAGGAGCAACTTGAAAAGCTATATTAAGAAAATGTCAACTAAATGCAAGAAAATCACCACCACAAAAAAAAACAAAACATGAACAGAAAAGCCCCAAATCCTCAACCAAACCCCCCAGATCTCAACAGATGATGTGGTCACAAGAAGTCTGCAGTGTAACATTTTCTCTTTGGTCAAGTGGAAAATCAGGTCCAAAACCCACACCCAGGCAAGGATTGCAGTCATTAGAAGGTTAAGACATACTCTCTGTGTTTTTGATGAGAAGAAATAGGATTTGGTCATTCCTGAATGTGAGCAATCATGAAAAGTGAGAAAATACACAAGAATTGATAGGGAAAAAAAAAAAACCTGAAAAGGTTAGTTTGGTCTGAGTTTCAGATGAATAACAAAGATGTCTGTAAGTCTGAGACTGGGTACAGAGGTCAGATCTGGAAGAGAGCTTGTAAGTTTGAGACACTATTAAACATTTACAAGAGGAGAGACGAGAGGAATAGAATTATTTCATCTGCAAGAGAAAATACAGCATTACTTAAAAAGTATTACAGTTTTGAAACGTAGTTGGCCAATTACATAGCTGGAGTCCTACAGCTTTAATTGTGGAGAAAGTTAAAAATTCTGTTCTTCTTTTAAAGGCTGATTTTATGCAGAGAAATTGTTAAGTAAGAAAAGCATAAATCTCAAACGCACTACTTGAAAATCTTGAAAAAAGTTCTGCCAAGATAATTACCTTGAAAAAATTCTGCCAAATAGAGAGTTAAAGAGCAAATTTTGTACAGAAAAATTGTTCAGAGTTTTTAAAGTTTGACTAGAATCACCTTATAAAGGTAACCATCCTGACAGCAGGCTTCTATTTCTGGGGACAAAAGCATCTATGTGAAGCAAAAGATACTAACACAGAAGGAAATTACATCTAATTACTACTCCAGAAATCCTGCGTGGTAAGCATTTAACCTGCAATTACGATTCTCTCTTTATATAAAGACAGCCAGCATTTATGGGGAAAATAGGCACTTTTCACCAATTACTGCTATTTAAAACAGAATCACAGCTATTTCTTCAGTACTGGCTTGGACTTTCTATATATCCTTTAGATAAAGTGTCTGCTATAAGGAGTTCCTTAAGTTTTCAAGTAATCAGCTGTGATCCAAAATAAAAGTGATGTGCCAGAACACTTAATCCCACAGACTTTTAAAAATGTGTACATGTAATAAGGCTGGAAAAAAATAACTCACATGATTGAATCTTCTGGTGAAAGCAACAGCATTTGGTGCAGAACTGTATTTCTCTTTTTTATTCCAGCCACAGCTTGCCAGCTCCTGGGAGAACAAGGATGAAAATTCACTTCAATTTAGTGCATAACAAATGTTCAGAGCCATGTAGAGACACAAATCTCTTCAGTTTCAAAACAACTTAACAGAGCAACAATACATTGAAGTAATACAGTTACACTGGTTCTGATTCCTTTGGCAAAGTGGTATTCCACAAGTGTATTTCTGAATTGTTTTGAGTTACTGGACTTTTACAATTCATCTTTTGTTGAATTAGGCACTTTGATAATTCACCCCTTACTAGGAGATTCATTTTTTTACCACAGAAAATCCTGCTTCAAATGTGGATCTCAGATAGAGAGCAACACGTCCTTTTGTGTTTAATCACCTTCTGAAGAGACTTAAAAGTCTACTGAAAAGATACACCTGGTTAACTCAATCTAAGATATGTCCCATTATTTTAATTTGGCATGTTAATAAGTGCCCCATTGCCCTGGCCCTGCACATCTGAAGGCTCACACGGTGCAGACATCAGCGGCAACAAATCTGGGAATCCTTCGGCTCTTGAGAGGAAGCAGATAGCACTGGACACTGCAAAACAAGAGATGCTGCTCCTGACGGGAGAGACACATCCAAATCCTTTTCTAGGGATGTGGAGGCACAGTCATGCAGGCCCTCAGGCCTGTGCTATCAGTTCAACAGCTTAAGCCAACACCTACCCCACGTCCAGGGACAGACACAGAGCTCTGGGAGTGCCAAAAGCAGTTTTTCCCCCTCCCTTTAAGGAGATGTAAGAAATGCTTCTCCACCTCACTAGCAAGACCTCTCTCCCCTGTACAGGCAGCTTTCTTTTCTCTTGTCTATAAACTACAATAAAAGTCATTTCCCTTTGCTGCCTGTCCAGTTTCCCAGCATTCCTGACTGACCCCTCTGCTCCAGGAGACACTTGTTAAGACCCTCTTGTTCCTTGCTAGAACCAGCTTGTCTAAACGCACTGCCCCTTGTAAAACACTCATTTCTCTGCTAAACAGACTGTGCTGCCTATTCCATCACTCTGTTTCAGGCATGGTTCTCGGTCTTCCTCTAGAATTCCACTTTTTCCACTACAAGTCTCAAACCTGAAGTGTTCACCAGAATTACTTCCTTAGTCTGCCAGCCAACTCGGGCACAGGAGCTACATCACTACAACCACCAATTTCCTATTTTATGTGATACATTTAAAATTAAGTGAAAAACTGAAAGATTTAGGATCAAGAATAAAACCCTGAACTTCCTTCATAACTCATTTTGGTTTTTATTCCTTTTTGAATACATAGAAAATTTTATTTTCCTTAACAAAATACTATGGGAACACTTAAATTATGACCTGCATTACGTGGCAGAAAGAGAGATCGTGTTTCTCACTAGAAGCTTTTCATGGGTCAAAGTGAAAGTCTCCAAAAGAGGTGAGAGAAAGCAAAGATTAATAGCAGAACCATTCTACAACTTCAGAATTATCAGAGATTAAGAATATTCAATAAGTGAGGGTTTTTTTCACCGCCTAGCCTGGTGAAGCAGAGGGGATGAAGAGGTTAAAGACAGTAACCCACTAAAGACTTTCAATGTGAGTACATATGGGCAAATAATTTTGGATGATGTACTAAAATATGTAAAATAAGTAATCAGATTTTCCAATAAAAGCAAACTGATGTGTTCTGCAAGGGGACATCTGGCCCTGGGTTAATGTTAACATAACTACCAGCAGCACAACTGAGCAAGTCTGGGACTCCTTTTCGTTTCACAGTCACTGCTCTCTGGAAAGTCACAACCACTACAAGAAAGAGAGAATAAAAAACAGCACAACCTTTCTCACTCCCAGGGAACAGAGAAAAACCTTGTAATTGACTGGGGCAACTCCCCTTTTTTTTTTTATCCCAAAAATTAAAATGCAAATTGGCTGCTTTCATACAAATAATTTATTTGCCACAGATAGAGGCAAAGCTACAGAAGTACATAACTGTGTGCCATGAGTATGTTCATTAATTTTGATGCTAAAAGTAACATTACTATATATTGTTCTGGAAAGTGTTATTCAGCTTTGGTTTTTGTTAAGATAACCAAGATGAAGTTCTGATGTTGCTTTAAAAGAAAAGCGACCTATAATAATTAAAATACAATGAAGAAGATGCAACACAGTAACTTTAAAATATTAAAAGACATTTAAAAAAATACTGCTCACACACTTTAAAGATGGCGAAAAGTCATCTCCAGCAATTTTAAAACTAAGCACCTTGGAGTGCATCTTACAGAACCCTCATTTGGGAAAACTAAGGAACACACATTTAAAGGCTCAAATTCCCGTTCAGACACCATTCTACAACGTTTGGGAAGCAAAGGGAGATTCAGAGCCTGTATAACGTAGATTTGGTGGTGAATTAGAACAATCTGTCATAAAACACCCTGCTTTTAAATCTCAGCACAGTGAGAAAAATGTTCATCATCTCCCACTGGGCATGCAGATGAGAGCTCTGAAATCTGATATCGGTGTCAGCAGATCCTGTTTTGTTTTCTAATTTCAAATTCCACAATGCTTGAGTGCACATGTCAAGGGATGGGTAAAGATTTACAAGCTGAATCAAGACGTGAGTATGGCACGGTCTGGTAGGAACTTGAAGGAAACTCAAGAGATCCACAACACCCCATTAACCTGCTGACAAGACAGCTTTAGGCAAAGTAAGTCTTTCCATGGCTGATTTTCCCTTCTGCAAACCAGGAGAAAAGCAATTTAATTGTGTCCAGCTTCTTCTGACCTGAGAGCTGATCTTCACAGCCCCTTTCCTTAGGGGATTAACACAATTTAGAGACACATCAGATAACGGACCTCTGAGTAGCTGTGGGGGAGCACTGATGGACAGTTGGTACCTGCACCCTGCCAGAGCCTTCAACTGCTTTTGTATCAACACCTGAGAAGAGTCAAAACAGCCACCCTTCCTCGGGGATATTTTCCAGGGAAGACATCACATCAGTTTTTCTTATGCAACACATACAGATTTCTTATAAATAATTACTTTCTAGATATATTCACCTACGCTCCAGCAGTTTTTCTGGATATCCTTAGAGTGCTTTCAAATGGCAGAATATGTTTCTCCTGATCTTCTAATAGGATCTCTCTTTTTTTCCAAGCTCTTTTCCAAAACTTTAAAGCATTTTTCAATTTTATCTGACTCTTTTTAATATTTTCCTCATATGTGTGTTTGTGTACTACTTTTTCTAATGTTAAGCACTGCTGTGATGTAGGTTCAAACCAGATCAAATGGGAAGCTCTTTGAAAGATTAAACCCACCAAATAACCCACACAAATCCACAAGGGCTGGGAAATAGCTTGCTGAAATCATATAAAAGCTGAATCATGACAACATTTTCAGGTACAGTTCAAACAGCAGCTTTCAAAAGAATTTGGAGGTACACAAATGATGAAATCAATAATCCCAACCAAGAGATTGAGCAGGTTTCTCCACTGGAAGCAAAGTATTGTTCAGTGTGACACAAGAGTGTCATGACAAAGCCTTCTACCAGTGACAGAGCTTGTGACAGACTGAAGGTGGCTGATGACCTGAGAAAGACTTCCACAGTATTGGTAAAATGGACAATAAACTGAAAAATAAACCCTCAAAAGTGCAAAGCAATGCCCACAGGAAAATGCTAATGGTACGGAAATAAGGAAATAATTAATTAACATTTATTACAGTCACTGTGAAGATCCTGAAAACATCAGTTCAAGTTCAGCTGAAATCTGAAAGGAATATGGCATTACAGAAAAACAAACCAGAGAGCACAAATCATTGAACTGTTATCCTGACAGACACACAAATCACACACATCTTGAATGTTAAGATGCCATTGCAACCATTTCTCTTTTTCCAAATAGGAAATGAACCAGTTACAGAAACACAGGACAGGATGAAGTATTAAACAGGTATCAGTAGGTGAAACCCAAAACATTATGATCAGAATTATCAAATCAGGATGTTTTTCATTCAGAAACACTAAACCCTAGACACTTCATCTCCAGCACTAACTGAATATTTAAATACCAATATTATTCCCAAAACAAACTATTAGTTCCAGATATTCTTGTGTTAAAAACCATCTGCCTCAGAGCTGTATTAACTGGGACGAAAATTAAGATTTATAGACATAGACATTCTGGAATTTGTATAATGGCATAACTTTTTTCATTTATGTTTTAAAACAAGGCCAATGAAATACTTACCTCTGGCTGAATTGCTTTAAATACAGGCACATCCATTAGTGTTATTTGACCCTGGAACAAAAATTTTAAAAATCATAAGTTAAGATCAAAATTAACCTTGCATTCCATTAAGGTGCTGTGCTGATTAAGAACTGCATTTGTTCTGCTTTCTTTTCTTTGGTTGCTAATTTCAGAGGTTTTGGCTCCTATCTCAGGGCCATCCTGCAAAACCAGGGAATAAAGTGCTCCCAACTTTGCATAAACAATAAACAAATTATGAGAAATTATCCTCGGGAGCATAACCCTGCAGTTACATATGCAAGTCAGAGCTTGAACTAGAAACAGTATGGAAGAGGCTACCCCAGAAGACAAGGAACTGACCTCAGCTGCTCAAGGGCAGTTTCTCTTCAAACTCTGGATGTCAGCCCGGGTGCCACACGATTCTACCAGAACACCCCTAACATTTGTCAATCAATACTTGAACCACATTTGATTAACTAAGCAAAGTCATTGTTCAGTTGCTCAGCAACAGTTAAAATTAAACACAGCCATCTCTCTTGCAGCAGCTCAGAGCCAGTGAGCACATTTTCATTCTGGGATGTCTGGTTAGCTTTGAAAAGCGTCAAGTCAAAGACTGGGTTTTGCATTTTGAAACATATTCACAGAGCCTTATTTTAAGCTTATTTAATCCTGTACACTTTAGGATTTCCTTCTGACTCCATAGGCTGTCAGAAAAGACCATTTCTTTTCAAGAGTACACAGGCAGCCCAGAAATACCAGCGCCATCCAAGTTAGATATCACAAATATCCTTTTAATGATGAATCCAGGGACCTTGTTCTGTTCCCTCAGCTGTCAGCTGCACAGCTTCATTCCCATTTCCTTGAAAACAGCAGCTCCCCATTTATACACTCCAAGGTACACACTGACAGGTTTGTGGCTCTCACAAATTGCCACTGCCACTGAATGACACTGTGGATGGCAGAGCAGCTCCTCAGAGAAAGTCAACCCTGCAGGACAATTTTAACTGGGATGCTGCAGTTGAAAGTCAGCAAGTGCAAAGAGATGCACCTGCTCTAACGAGACTCTGCTCTAACGACCCAATCTGCACTTGGTAGCACATCTCCTTGACCTCTAAATCTATTTTTGGATAGGAATTCTGACAATAAGCATTAAAAAAAAATTATACAGAACCATTTTCTGTAACCAACACACTGCACACAATCATCTGCTATTCTGCAGTACAACATCACAGAAGCAACGAGCCCTTTATGTGTTTTGTTTTTACCACACTTCCTTTCCTGGGCTCTGCTTTAGTCGGCTGCTCTTTCTTCCAAACAACTCCAAGCTGGGCAGAAATGTTCATCTGCTGGAGGGCAGGAAGGCTCTGCACAAGAATGTGGCCAGGATGGACTGATGGTCACTTGTGCTGGGTCCTGCCCTGGGATCACAACAGTCCCAGGCAGCACTACAGGCTGGGGGAAGAGTGGCTGGAAAGCCACATTCTGGGAAGAGTTGACTCTTCCTTTTGATTTCCACAGAGAAGAAGCCACACCTGAAACAGCAGCCACAAAACTCAGTGTCCTGCCTCCCACCTGCCTGCTTAAGAATATCCAGCTTTCTCAGAAATGTATTACTCTCAGTGAGTATGTGGCTGATGGGATGGATCACTGTGCTTTTCAACAGAGGAAATCAATAGGAAAATCGGTTGGGGTGGGGAAGGTGGAATGAGAAGAATGGGCACTTCACTAAAATTCAAATCCAGGGTGTATTAAAAGATCCTTTCAAAAGACACAGGCATTTCAATGGTTATTAATATTCCACTGCAAATCCTCCTTACTAAAACAAGATTACAATAACAGTACAATAGAAAAGAGCCAGGACACTGATTCACTGTTCACAGAGCAGAGAATGCTTAAAAAAATAAATGTCTTTCTTCCCAGCCCTCCAGAATGTGTCCTCTTCATCAGCCTGAACTGCCTCAGTTAAATTTGACTGCTTGCTTCAGTAGCGACTCCTAAACCAATTATTACTTCAGGACAGGCTCAATACCAAATATCTATGAAATAGAATGTTTTATTAGAACTTCACAGTAAAATTTCTATATCAAGAATAAAGGCACACGTTTTAGATGGGGATATTAAAAAGGGCACCTCGACATTGAAAAAACAGATGTCAAGGGTCAAGATTAACGGTCATTACTAAAAACATCTGAAATTGTTATTAAGTACATTAAAATATTAAAAAAAGCCTGAGAACTCAAAATGCTCAGTAAGTTTTAACAGAGGAACTTCTTTCTTTTAGTATCACGTTGATATTAGGGTGATTTTTTTTTTTTTTGCTAGTTTGGTTGAGGTGTTTCTGCTTTTACTAAGATCTTCAGTAACACTGTATCACATTAGCACTTGTTCAAGAAACATCCCTTATTGAGGTCCCTTTCTTAAAGGGCTTGAAATTTCCATTAGGAGTTCCAAGTGCTTAATAAATTGCTCATAATTCAAAAGAATCGAGCCACTGAGAGCTGAATATTGAAGGTGATGGATAAAAAGCCATTTGACTTTATATGTATGACATCGTAACTCACATTAGAGTTTAAAAATACCTTTGACAAAACAGACAGTTTGAAACGTTAACTTGCTCACATTTGTAAGTCTAACAACCGAATTTTTACCCTTTTAAAAAGGTGCTCTCTCTCACTGCTAAGTAAAAAACAAAGCAAACTGAAAGGCTGGCAGTCTAATTAACAGCACTTGAAATGACAAAACTTCAAAAATAATTTAGGATTTTTATGTCATGTGCCACTGCTCAGCTTTAACAGCAACAAAAGACTTCTGCCTCGACCAACTCAGGGGTATTTAAGGCCCAACAAACAAAGCCACTAGTTTGGTTCCTGCAGTGAAAGAGACACAGTGCACTAACTTTTCTCACTCCAGCTCCTTAACCCAGCCAATACAAATTCCTGGAGAGCTTCCCTCTCCCAAATGTGGTTTAATGCGTTAATATTCAACCCAAAAATTATAAGTGTTCGCATCAACTTGTTACATGAAGCTGGCCAACCATAACTTCTCTGGTTTTGGATTGTCAGCTGCAGAGATTTAAAAAAATAAAAATTATTACATGTGCAATAAAAAGCTTCAAATTTGTCCTTACTTATCTTTTAAATAAGCATTCTGATTACGCAAAGATAAGGAAACTTGATATTTTCTGTCCTTCCAGAAGTGATATATCTATCAAGTTCATTTATATATTACAGTATTCCTTCATTGCCAAGGCAAAGAGTGAGCCAAATGGAATTTTTGTGTCTGTGTTTGCCCTAGATCCTAGATAACAGCTCTGGAATATGATTAGAAGAGGTATGTTTTTAATATATAACTAATGTATTTCCCAATTCTCAACCACTTGAAGAGCTCTACAAGGGAAAAACCATCTTTTAAAACCAGCGAATGATCATTTTCCAATTAACACACCAGAACAGTAGTTGGCAGATATTTCCCCACCCCTGCCCAGCCACAGGAGTTTTGCATGTGCAGAAGACCTTTCCTGGGGACAGTCTCCAACAGCCAAGTTTAAACACATTTTATCTCTCATGGGCATTGAGAAGTTGGACTCGTTAACAATTAACTACTTCAAACTACTAAAATTATTACCACACAGCTTCGTATAAAGAGGTTTTACCCCTCTCTTGGGGAGATGTGTCAGGTCAGAAATTTTACATCCAGATGACTAAGAGCTACTTTTCTGTGTCCTGCTTCTTTCAGGAATATGGAGAACCTCAACAAAATGAAATTTTAAAGTATTTCCTGATTTTTTTTCTCTTTTCTATGAGTACACCTGGATTATGCTCCTTCCATAAAACCCTTTAACTAAAGAACTCCTAGTTCCATTTAGGACCACTGTGTTAAGCTCCTCTCCACACTGCTCTAAGAAAATTCCCATTGGATCTGGGCTATGATCCCATCTTTCTAGTCCCTAGACCTTCCCACTACTGGTTTTCCTGCCATGTCCCTACCCTAAGGACAGTGCACTTCCCACACAGCTCCTGGACAGAGACCCTCAGTGTAACACGAAAAACTAAGTTTCTGTTTGGGATGGGAAAAGAAAAAAAAAAAAAAATCCCATGTCTGCATTTTGGTTATTGAAGAATACTGCCATCACCTGATTTTCCTTGAAGCCATGTTGGTTCAAGCAGCACTTCATAAATTGTTCCTTAATCTGAATTTTTAGAAGGAATTACATTTAAGCCTTCCAACTTGGCTTAGCACTGTCTCTCTGAGCTGCCAGGACACTTTTCCTCACTGAAAAAATAGCTAAGCCTCTGTTAAAGCACGGCATCAGTAGGAGAATAATTCTGCTGTCCAGAAGGAACACCAGGGGATTCGAGTTCCTGTGTTGAAACTCTCCTTGTTTTCTCACAATGTCCACTCCAAAACTTTTATCATTAATAGCTCCTCCACACGCCATAATTAAGTTGCTGCTTCTTGCTCTCATTGGGAACATGTTTATTCTAATGTTCTTCTGTAAAGTAAAGCTAACAGGATATATGTAACTTGATATTTAACTGTCATAAGAACATCTCTGAGAAAAACTCCTTGTTTCGACTGAAGGGTTTTTAAATAAACTCTATTTGTGTATTGTTTCCAAAATAAGCAGGGTCTTCTTCCAACAACCATTTGACAAAGCTTAACTGGAATCAAAAAGAAAGAAATACACATACATCTCAGCGTGATCTTACTCCACAGCACTTCCAGGGACCAGGGTGAAGAAGAAAGAATCCTTCTTAGATAACTCGGTGGAAAGAAAAAAAGCAATGGATTTATACAGCTGCGCTTCCCTTAATTCTACCTCAAATATTTACACCAGCGTGGCTAAGCTGAAGTATAAAATGAAAAAGTGAGTCAAAAAGTAATAAACAGTCAGATAATTAAACAGTAGCTGTCTAAGAAATACGAATTTACTGTAAAGCAAAAAATAAATATTTCTTCAACCTGAGGTTCCCCAGCACCTTAATTTGGAGCTCATGTCCCCGAGTATTTTCCTTTTTTCCTTCAGCCTCCCCTTTCCACTGCCACTGCACCACTAACATATGCCACCCCACAAATTGTGCCCTGTATGCTCAAAACCACAGTTCTCCCTTGGCTGAAAATGGGGAGCATTCACTGTGACCCTGCACACACACAACGGGCCAGACACCGCTGGGCAATCCTGGCACCAACCTGCTTGTGGCTTCCAGCCCACTAAGAAAGAATTGAGCAGTGACCAGCCTAAAAGCAGGTATTTACATCAGAGATGGTCTCGATTTCAGCTACAAAGATGTCTGCAGAATCCTTGGCAAAAAACAAACTGTCCTAGTTCATGTATTCACTGAATTTCCCCAAAATCTATGCAACGTGCAGGTATTCAATATATCCCCTGAAAGGTGGGGGTGGAAGCTGCAAGGTGATAAAGCAAACTATACATTTTAAATCAGCAGCAGCTATGCCTGAAGATCTCACCCATTTCAGCTGTAACTCGGCCCTTTCTAAAGCAGTCTTCAACCTCACAAAGAATTTAAACCACCCAGTTGGTAACAACCATATAACTGACTATTACACCTAAATTACAACAAGAATTTCCACTACTGTTCAAACTGGAGCCCTTGAAGGGCTGGCAGAGTTTTGCTACAAAGTTAGTGTGAGATAAAGGACCATTACATGGAAAGGCACACCAGGATAACTAACATTCAGGGTAGTGTAAGATGATTGCCAAAGGGGAGAATATGGAAAGAAAATCACCAAAAATATCTGCACTCAGGTTTCTCTTTGGCTTGGTAAGCAGCTTCTTGAAAATACAGGATTACAAGTGATAGCTTTTGTTGTCCAACTTGCCTCTTACCCACTAACTGACTAACCAGATGGAGTTTTGAAATGAAATAACAATCATGTCTCTAAGTCAGTGGGAACTGAAAAGACATCTGTGTGTCTCATTGGTACTGAAACCACCAGCATGGGTCTTATTTCCAGTATATCTCAAACAATTATCCTTCAGACTGTTGCTCTTTTTCTTCCAGGCTGTTTGTCCCATCTGATCAAAAAGCAACATTATCATAAAGGTACAGGATGAGACTTCACAATGCTCACATTGACTTGGTCACTTAAACTCTCACCTTTATGCTGCCTATGCACTGGAATTCTTTTCCATCCCAGCCAAGGTTCCCTAGCCATTAATCAGACAGCTGTCTAACTAGCTCTTGGGCAGCAACCTGCTTTTATTGCTGTTTTACTGGTTTTATCACATTATCTTTCCTCTCAAGGAACAAGGTACTTGGCCAGCCCCTAAATCATTTAATCAGTGTACCACTTTAAAATTAATTATATTTTTTTAAACAGGATTCACTCAGCCTTCCCTAGTGACAGATGTCTGTAGTCTGCACTGCATCCATTTTACAAGAGCTAGCACTAAACTAAAAGCTTCCCCATACTTTGAAAAAGCAACTAGTAGCATATCCATGTCCAATCCATGCTGGTGTCCTCAAGAGCTTGGCCATACTTAACATCACTCTGGTAGTCCTCACATTTAACACTGAAATCCAGATTTTACACTTCTCTGTTATGGCAGGACTAAACCCAGGAAGAATGAGGAAATGGCCAATAAAATAAACACAAGTGTAAGGGTCAAAGGTATTTTGCCTCCAAGGTACCTAAATTTTTGGCAAATTTACTTACTTCTACAACCTTCAGCAAGAATGATCAGAAAAAGGCAGCACTCAAAGCAAGCAAGTGCTACTGGAAAAGCAGATAAACCTGCCTGGGGAAACAAACATTAACAAAGAGGTGCAGCTATGTAATGAAACACTGAAAAAGAAATGAAAATAATTATTTCCTCGCCAAAGAGCTGAACACTGATGGTTTTGCTCAATTGCTCAGAATTCTGTCTGTAAGATATTTCATATCCATTTACAGTAAATGAAACCTGCTATGAAGAAGTAGATACTTTGAAAGGAAAGAGTAAAGATGTTTCTTTTGGGGAACTGAGAAAACAGCAAAATGATACCTGGTAGTACAAACCCAAAACATAAGCATAGCTTTGACATTTTAATGTGAAATTCTTAATTAAAAGATTTTTGTGAGTGCAACTCTACCCAGTTTGAGACAAAATATGAAAATAGTAAAAACACTGGATTTGAACACGGATTTTTATCTAGCTGAGATTTACTAAGTAGGTAACATTTAAAACATCCAGTGTGAAAGGTTTCTGCATGTGAGAGATGAAGGATTAGACAGCAGAGCAGAAGGATTATGAAACGTGATACAAGACAAAGCACCTTGGTATATTTGGCTGTCCAAGTGAGTGACAGCAACTCCACAGAGACTTAATGCTCTATTCTGCTGCTCCACAGCAGCCACTGCTTCATTTAATGAACTCATTCTGGCCCCAGTGCATAATTCCAATTGAATTCATGCCCCCAGCCCCAAATCCCCTAAGTACTTAGATTTCCTTTATGTAGAGAAATCACAAGATAAACCTGAGAGGACAGCCAGCCCCAAAAACCCTTCCCAGGGAAAGCAGGTGATGCATTGCCCAGCTGTTCCTGACAACGGTGCAAAGAAGAGGCCCAAAGCACATGACTTGAGCCTCAGTCAGGAATAAATCCCATTCACTCTCCAAGAAGAATTTCATGTGTAAGTAAGTACCTACCCCTTCATAATCCAGCTGTTTTAAATTTTCAGTGTGCTCATTAGAATCAATTTAGCCATTAATAATTGATAGGAATAGTTATTAATGATTACAAACCAGAACAAACTTAATGGGAATATCTTGTGACACGTAATACCACGTATTGATAATTTCTCCAGGACAAATCCTCGTGGATCTCATCACTTGAATTATAAATACAGTAAGAGCAATAGGTTGTTAGCAATCTTTCTAGTAGCATACTTGAATACTTAGTAGGACCATCTGTTGTCCTAATCCCTACAAGTAGGGTAAAAATAAAAAAATCACCCAGTGTTTTGGTTAAACATCTCCTTTTTCTGTACACTCAAAAAAAAAAAGAAAGAAAGAAAGCACTCCAGTAAGAATTAACAGTTAAAAATTAAAACACCTCCACAAAAAAACCCAGCACTGATCAAGTATAGTCTTGCAACTTAAACTCTGCATGTCAGAATTAAGCTGCATCACATAGATTTAAGAATCTTTGGTCTATGCTACATGTGAAAGGGTGAAAAATACCTGGACAGCAGAGCCCCAAAAGATTACTTACCATTAAACAGAATACAGACAATGAAGAAAATGTTTTTAAAACCCATGGATGACAGAAGTCAAGCAAAAAGTCTCCAGAAATGGAGGAGCAGAGGAAAACCTGCCAGGAAGATTCAGACATAAAGCAATAAAAATGACTGGAACTGCTCACCGCATATTCCTCTGGTGTGACCTTCAGAACATCAAACACCACGGCATCAAAGCTCTTCTTCAGTTCAGCTGAACCTTTGTCACTCAAGGACTCAGAGCTGCTACTCTTCTGCAGAAACAAACAAAAACACTGAGGATATTTTGGTCCTCTCCTCTTCTTTTTGTCTTTTCTTTTTTACACTCCCAAAAGCAACACTTCTGTACAAACAACGCAGGTCACAGAACTGTTCTGTTGGGTAAGTTATCAATTAAAAGTCAGCCCAGGACATGGTTTCTTCTGACACAGACTGCTAAGGTTTTCAAGACTGTGGATATGGGTCCTTGAAATAAACTCTTGTCCCTTTTTAAGCGCTTCTGTTATAAGGACATATAAAGAAAACACTCATTTAATTATCATGCCCACTTTTAATTAGATTCTGAGAGTACAATCTCTCTGAAAAACCTGCCTTTGAAAACACCACTAAAACCTCTAAACCAGGGAGGCATTTTCAGTAACCACTGTACTTGCAGACACATTCCAGTTACAAGTCCTCTCTCCTCCTGGTTAGTCAAGATAGGAGAAAAAAAGTACTCCTTGCTGAAAGCAAATTCATGTAATTTTTGCCAAAATATATTTTATTCAATTTTATCAGACATCACATGAACATTCAAGACTATTTTGCTGAGTAAAAAGGTAGCTTTTCCTCCAAGAAACCTTTTCAGGTGCGTGCCAAAAAACGATCAATGATTCATAAAACAAGAGAACTACAAAAATTTGTATAAACACAAACAGTGGTCTTGGAGACTGATGGCAACTGTCTTGTTTAGATATTCACAATATCTGTGAAATTATGCTGGAGATTATTTGAACCCTTTTGATAATAGAAAACTCCAGTTTTCCTTTCACCTTGTTTGTGGTGCTTCCCATTTCCACATGGACCTGCAAGACACACATGTCTGCTAACAAAATTTGTGTGTAAATATATAAATAAGCCAAACACCTTTGGTAAGGTCCAGTGAAGGAAGCAACTATAGTCAGGACTATTGACTTTGCAGCGTTCTAACTCCAGCCCAAGCCTTCTTTTCTTTAACAAACGCATGACAAATGCAAAACTATATTAACTTCAAAATAAGAGGCACCAGCAGATGAGGCCAATCTCCATTGCTGGGATCATACACACACTCTAAGCTGTTCATTTCTAGGGGGTAGAAGCTTTGGTGGGCAGGAGGGCCCCATATCTCTGCCAGAATATAGTCCAAGAGACAAAGGGAACAACTTTATTCCACTGCTACTGTGCCAGACTGTCCCTCAGTACACACAGACACACAAATACCTGTCAAAACATTTTCACAGGCCTTGCCAGCCCAGCTTATTGCACTAAGAGCATCTATTCTTGTTAAAACTTGAAAAGAAAAGCTTTCATGTCTAGATGTGATAGAAGAGAACACAAAAAAAGGCATTTTGGCTATGGCAAGGCCATAAATGTTAGCTCATGTTCTTTTTTGGTATACAAAGATCAGAGCTTTACACTATTCACATCTAAACGGGGGGTGTAGGAAACCAACACACAAAATATGACTCTGTTGGACGAAACCTGTTAAAAGGAAAACATTTTAGCGCGTTTAAAGTGCAAATGGAGTCCTTGATTACCCAACGAGTGAGGTTTGCAGCCCTTACCTCTGAGGCAGTGGCTGCAATGTTAACACTGCTGGGCTGTCCGTTCATCAGGTCCATGCTGCCCACACCATCCGGCTCCGGCCCTACATCGACAGCAGCAGCATCATCTCCAAGGCAACCGAAGAACCATTCCTACGAGGAGCAGAAAGTCATCAGAAACCACCTGTTCCTGTGTTTTAACCAAGAGTCAGTATCTGGAATCCTTAACAAAATGAAAGGGGCTCCCAAAATGGCTACACCAGTTTGAGGTCCAGACTTCAAATTCTAACACATATTTTAAAATTACCTATTTAAAAACAACATAAATGACTGAAGGTTCCATTGAGATCCATCTCTTACTGGCAGTATCAACTTATCATATTCTTTTCCCTACTACTTCCTACATGCCAGGAATCAATATGTAAATGTATGCAGCAGCTCTAACTTAAGGTTAGGTCTGCAACATCAGTTCACAGCTCTTCCTTTTATTACCAACTTTAAAAAGTTTATTTCAGATGTTAACTCTATTAGATAACTTTAATAAGGTGCTATCCAATCATTTCCTATCTTATATGCCTCTTTACCAGCTTCAAGTGAAAAATTACCATATCAAAAGCAATTAAAGAGTGCAAGTGGAATTTATACTTTTCTCCACAAATTACCCAAATTATTGCTCAGTAAAAACACCCAAAACAAACAGAAAAACACACAAAGGAAAGCCCCACACACTTTTAGTGCATCCTTTCAAGAATACTATTACTTTTCATTTCTATAGAGAAAATGTTGCAAAGAAATGGAAACCTTTGGCACCCACTGCAAAAACAAAAAGACTACCCAAAACTGAAGTGTTACAGAGAGTAAAAATTGGTTTATGCTTAAATTTAATGAGCTCTTGGTGCCCTCTAGTGTGAAAACTACTATAAATCAGCTTCCTTAGGTCTGTGTCTGCAACAGGTGTGACTGTCTCCAAAGTTGCTCTTATTTATGAAATTCACTTTAGGTTTGTAGTTTAACTCTAGTATTAAATGGCCTGTAAATAAATGGAGAAGAGAAGTAATGGGGGGCTGGGTAATTCCACATGACAAAATAGTATTACAGCAGCTCATACTCGAGGCCTCTAAGGAATGAAATAAAATAACCTGAAAAGCTGTATCTCCAAGTGACCTAAACCAGGACTGTCAGACAGACAAAGCCTGGAAGGCAAGAAACTGCAATATTTAAATAATAAAATACCCTCAAAAAAGCAGTAATTGTAAAGTGCCACTGTAGGAATGCAATACAGAAAGGAGGGCAGCAAACGGGAGCCATGTGGCAAACTTCAATCAAACGCTTCAGCTTCCACTGAATTGAGTATACCACTGAATTTTTGAGTATTAACAGTCCCATCTGAGCTGTACTTCTGCAATTCAGAGCAGCCACCCACATTCTACCCTTTCTTGTTTTGGAAAAACTGATGGGACTGTCTCATTCACAGGACAGAGGACGCTGCATTTCACTTTTACATTATACTCTCGGCCCATTTGCTTTAAGAGTGATTACTCCACTAAAAATGCACTTAACTGCATTTAAACCTTAGCTGGTGTTATACTAACAGAACATGCAAAGGGAAAAATACACCTCATCTTTGGCTTGTGACTGTCACTGCTGTGCTGCCCCTCCCCATCTCAACTACCCTTCAGATTATCTTGTGAGGAATATTGCCAAATGCCCAGCTCCCCAGTGCCTCTTCCCTACAGCCTTTTCATTTGCTGAACAGAAAAGCATGGGAATAAAACTAACTGATGTGTCACAACTTTCATTTATGTAGTGACAGCAGAGGACAGAGGTATCACATCTTCAAAACCAGTTTCAGGCTCCCACACACGTTCAGAACTGCACGCTCATCCCAAAGTAATCTTCCCTGCTAAAAACTTACCCTTCAGATATTTGTGATATTTTTAACCTTTTTTGAGGAAAAATGACACTTGGGACAATTCCCTCATAACTATCTGGCCCATAACTGTATCATACAAAGCCAATCTTACACTGAATGTTATACATTTGACCCTTGGCTCACATAGGCTTCAGTTGTTCCCCTTCCCCATATTAATGGGAGGCAACAAGAGGGAGAAAATTGAGGAAGTGTTTCTGCCCAAGGAAAAGCAAAACCTGAAGTCTGGGGTGGGGTTTTTGTGGAGGTATTTGGATGGTACTGTTTAGAAAAAATTATGCATATCACAGAAGCCTATGGAGTCGGCAGAGCAGCCTCAGACAAACAAGAGGAGACTAACTCCTCTCTAAGCAAGTGCTAAAGCCCAGTTTCCTAAATAATTAGCCTCACAATAACCCACAGGCTCTCACAGTAACATTTCCTAACAGATTTCCACTTTAGAGGATCTACCTGGAGGGTACAGCAGTGCTGATCCAGGTTTTCCTTTTATACCTGGTTACTGTGATGGGAATTGAGAGAACTCTGTCCCTTAGTCAAGGAGGGTTGAAATTGCCCACCATGCAAAGGAGAGACTTCTGTAAGGCAAAGAAACACTGGAATTTTATTTTTTTTTAATAAATAGAAAATCACCTAGGGAAGAAAAAACAAACTGCATGCAAAGGAAACTGAGATTACAAAATAAAACATGTGCCCTCAGGCTGTATCCTAACAAAGCTGTCCATGCAATTCTGTGCCCATTGCTGCATTACAAGGGTACGTCTGAATACATTTATACTTTTCCCCCGCTTTGTGGAGATACAGTAAGCAGCTGAATTAGTACTGAACTGCCATAAACTAACATTCATCAACTTTAAAGTTCCAGGATTTGCAGCATTTGAAGTGTTTTCATGTTTAATGCAGCTTTCAAAAGCACGTGACCACTCCCATAACAATGAAAAGTCACAGCAACGGTTTTGGCCAGTGTGTCACTGAAGACAATCATTGAAAAATATCTCACACTGGAATAATTAAATCATTTGCTTCCTATGCTACTCTTCTGCTCAACACCAAAATAAGAAGGAAACAGCAACATCAGAAGGTGATCAAGAGCAGAGCAGTAACACAGCTGGGTATGTGCAATGACTGTGATAGTGAGTCACAGAGTTTTCACTGTGTACCTTGTATATCCAGTTACCAAAACTGAATTACACTGAGTAATTTGAACCTTCAGTCTGTTTCTCCTCTCCAATTTAATAAATGCCTCTAGGCTCAGAAATGGAATTGAAAGTGTTTTATATGATACACAAAATACTTAAACATGCATTTATGCCAACCTGAAGCCTGGACACACTATATAGGATCTGCCTACCTCTTCGTGCCAGTGTCCAGTGAAAAGCAAACTAAAAATACTGATACAAAAGATTCCTCACACCCAAAGAATGAAAATACCTAGACTATTGTTGTGGTTTAACCCCAGCCAGCAACTCAGCCCCACACAGCCACTCACTCACTCCCCCACGGCAGGGTGAGGGAGAGAATCAGCAGAGAAAAAGTGACAAAACCCGTGAGTTGAGATGAGATAGTTCAGCAGGGAAAGTAAAAGCTCTGTGCTCAAGGAAAGCAGGGAATTCATTCACCCCTTCCCACGGGCAGGTAGGTGTTCAGCCATCTCCAGGAAAGCTGGGCTCCATCCTGTGTAACAGTGACTTGGGAAAACAAACACCATCACTCCGAACATCCCCCCTTCCACCTTCTTCCTCGTCATATCTGTGGCCTGGAATATCCCTGTTGGGGTCAGCTGTCCCAGCTACATCCCCTCGGCCCAATTTGCTGTGCACCCCCAGCCTACCTACTGGTGGGGTGAGGAGCAGAGAAGGCCTTGACTCTGTGCAAGCAACCAGAACATCCCTGTGGTACCAGCACTGCCCTCAGCACAAATCCAAAACACAGCCCCACACTAAATACTATGGAGAAAATTAACTTTATCCCAGCCAAAGCCAGCACAACTAAGCAGGGGCTGCTGCCTTCAGTGAGTTGTTCTGCAGGTTCACCTAGGGCTGTATTTGATGACCATTCCCTTCCAAGAACTGATCTACAGATCCCCCAAAAGGGCAGCTCGGCGAGGATGAGCAAGGGCAGTGCCACAGGGTGTGGGTGAGCACAGCTGACTTATCTCAGCACAAAGGGCACCAGAGGGTGCCCTTTGTTTTAGACAAACAGCTCTGTCAGTGGAGCCATCAACTGACTGCATCACAGCTGAGTGAATCAACCAGCGGTGCAAAGGCTTCTCCCTGAGTTCATTAAAAAAGTGACTGTGTCCCAGAGTTATCCAAAGGAGCGCGGGGGACTGAACACACGGCTCTGCCCAGAGTACAAAACTAAATAACAAAGGCATTTCAGAGAGCCTGAGCTGGCTTCAACCCACATATTCTTCCTGGTGGCCGGGGACACCCAGCATCGTGACAGTGAGCACACTCCAGAGACCAGGAATGGGCATCACACTGGTATTGGGTTTCAACTGCTTTACTGCAATTGCTGTATTTTGCTAAACTGAACTTGTATTTATATTGTGATTTCAGTATATTTTGTATCGCATTGCTAAATCAGAAAACCTCTGTAACACCAACTCTACTCAAACTGTGAATTTAACATCAAACATTACACCCCCTCCATGTGTGGAATGCCTAAAAGAACCTGGCCAGGCAGTATTGGACTCTCACAGATGTCTTACAGGACACAGATGTCTTACCTGACTGCCTTCCATAGCAGCTGTTCTTGACTCAGCTTGGGTCAAACACTGTCCCAAAAATACACTGTACAAACAGCATTTTAAAAGACGACTCTAAAGTTACATTTAAAACTTCCTGTGAGAGCAGTGCAAAAGCTTTGAGGAAACAGCCACAGTGCAGTTTTATGAATAGCTCAAGAGTCATGATGACCAATATCCCCTTTGTTCTTATTCATAATGTCAGTACAAAGTGTAATTTGTTTTGATCACAGATCCCCATTAAGATAACAGAAGTGCCTTGCATGGATCATGATGGACAAATATGCAGAGCCACTACCAAAGGCTTTGGGGACCAAAGAACAATAAGGACTGAAAAATCATTTCCAGAGACAATGAACCTGAGCTCCTGATCCTGTGGAAACATCTGAAGACTAAAAGAAAACTTACTGTCTAAAAGGCAAAAGGTGAGACAACTGCTAAAACCCAACAACAGCACAAGAAAAACAAAACCAAAAAACCCACAACAAAAAAACTACAAGAAATCAAACATATTAAAAGACCCACAAACCATACACTCCACACCAAAACAAAATAAAACCAACAAACTAATAAAGCCCCACAATGAAGCAGAAAAATCACCAAGGAATAGGCCACAGGACAAAGAATGTTCATTCAACTATGAAAGAAGATTCTGCCAAGTAAAATCAAACTGCACCTTCCAAACTGTATCCTTCAGTTTTACACCCAAGCCACCAAAACAGAAACCCAACCAGTTACTGCACTGTAGAATAAAGGCAGGATGTACACAGGGATAAAGAATAAAAATGAAAGTCACCTAAAGCCATGCTTTAATTCAATTTTCAGCAAGCATGGTAATATTGAGAAGTAATATAAGATAGCAAAACTGATAAAAATTGAACCTACCACAAAAGAGATGAAATCAAAGCCCGAGCAACTGAGTATAAAACCCCAACCCCATTCTCCTGCAGGAAATTTATCACTGAAAATAATAAAATCCCAGACCCAGAATCACACACACTACAAAATCTGCAGACACGTGAATCTTGGCAAAGCATTGGGAAAATTGCCCCTAGTGAAGGGGCAATTTAAAGATAAAGGGCACCAGCATAAGACACACATTGGGTACAGGCATGATAAAAACAGAGCAGCTTAGTATCAGAGAAGGAAGAGATTACTAACAGTTATTAAATATGCAATACCAGTACAAATATTAGAGCAATAAAGCATTTGGCAATACAGGAAAGCAATATAATACAGGACAAATAAAACTATCTGATGGACAGAAGAATAAAAAATTAAAGTCAATCATTAAAGGACTCTTGGAGCTGATCCCTGTAAAATTTCTGCTGTGAGCTTCAGCTGGAAATGATGCCACCAATGCTGTAAGCACGAAGTATCCACAAGAGATGTTTGCATGAGTTATGGGCCAACACTACCTGCAAAACATTTCCAAGGAGACACTGATGCTGTTACTCTGCAGTTCTTTCAAAAAACCTTTCAATGGAATGCGTGCAGAGAAGGGCTTTGCAGGTTCTCTGAAGGCACCACTGCAGAAGGGGAAACCAGGAGACCTCAGCTTGCTTATGGCAACACACTGAGATCTGCACGAGGACACACCTGCCACGACCAAATACCAGGAGGGTAAACCAGGACTATGAATGAAATGAAAATTTATGCTCAAAATCAGAAGACAGCAACCAGATTCTTAAGAGTTTCCAGAAAGCACCAGTAACAGCAAAAACCCCATAGCTGCCTAAGCTGATCCTGGACTCCTTCCTGGCAGGAATGTCCCACGGCGCCTGCAGCAGCAGCCCAGCTGACCCAGTAACACAGACTCCTGCTTTCACTGGTCTGATCGGTCCTGCTGCAAACTCAAAGCACTTCTGTGCTCACACAGATCACTTGTGCCACACACACATTCCTTCCCTAAGCATCTGTTGCACAACAGTCACAGCAGTATCAGCTGGTTAAGCTCCAAGACAGATGAAATTAGAATCCACAGAACAGCAAGAAAGAGAACAAAGATTCTTTTTATTATGTTTGACACCGAAATTTTAAATTGAAAAAAAAAAAAAAAAGAGAGGAGCTTCATTTAAATGTGTTCATTTAAATTTACATTTTCTCCTCTTGTCTTAGAAAAGGCTTTACCTGGACAACTAAGTAAAACTGCTATTCTTTAAGAAGCCACTATCCACCCACAGCACTTTCACTATCATGTATATGCTCGTGTTCTGAACAGCAAGATCTTACTGCTGCTTTTTTGCACCTCATTCCCTGACTTGGGGGTAGCAGGGGAAAGAGAGGTAACAGTACGGTTTTGTCTAATTCATATCTTACTCAGTTTCCAGCTATCAAGGTCTCTTCTCCATGGTGTTCCAGTACCCAATGCTCTCCTTTTTAATCTCAAGAACTGGTACAACTTGTAGCTCCCATTTCCTCAGATGAGAGAAAGAAAAAAAAAAAAAACAAACCAGAGTATCCTTCTCCAGGGCACAAGCTACTTCTTCACCAAACACTATTACAAAAATCAAACTATTAGCTCAATTTGTGAACAACTTGCAGCAACAATCAAGAGGTTCAGCTCAAAATGGAAAGTTTCCCGGATTAGTTACACACAAACAGGAAGGAGATCCTTACCGTGCCCACTTCCACACTCAAGAGCAGCTATTCCTCCGTGGACTGACAGAGCCAAGGCTTCACCGGGAGATATTCTAGCACAAGGCAACAGATTTTGGTGCACAGCTGCAAGCAGTGGCTGATCCAGGCCCTCACACAACGCAGGCATGAATCAAACAGAGGGATCATTGCAGGCAACAAATGGACTAAGCCAAAAATGTGAACATGTGTACGAGCTATTTAAGTTTAGCCTGAGGTCGTAAGAGGTTGGCTTTCTGCTAACAAAAGGTCTCTCCAGCACAGTTTGAGTGTTAAAAGACAAAACATAAGTGCAGTAAGTAAATAACTGCACAAAACCTGAAGAAGTTTGTGCTCACAAACTACTTACAAATTCTCAGGTCCCCATCACTTCTTTCTTCAGAGACCAACAACAAGCTTCTGTTCCGTTTTGTGGTTCTTTAGAAAGGACAATGCACAGGAGAAAGTTTTATTCCTTCGGGTCTGGCTCTTACTTTACAACTGCTGTCAGAACAGACTGAACCTCTGAAGTTATGATACACGGTTTGTTTTACTTCCCATGTGCCAAAACAGTAAGCATTAGGAAACCAAATTATTTTAGCAGAGAAGATACATCAAAAGTATAACAAGGCTTTACTCTGCTCCGTCTCCTCTCTAGAATTCAAGCCTACCTGAAGTTTGCTCTGTCTGAACAGCATTTCTTCTAATGCCTGAAGAAGAAATCCAGGTTTGCTCAGTGAGGAACCAGAGGAGGATCCTTTCTCACCCCAAGGACACAAAACAGGAGAAGTCATAACCTTGAGACATTTCTCAAAGATAGTGAGAAATGATTTCTATTTTCAAGATAAAGAAGCAAAAAGGGGGCAAAGAAAATAAATAAGACTTAAACTGGAAGCTGATATTTTTAATTAATTAGGCAGTTCTAAAAGATGATAACCTTTCTCCAACTGGCTTTTCCACGACCTCACCACGTGGTCATGCAGCTCAGTTTTGTTTGCAAACAAGAGGAGCAGTAAATGATTAATGTCCTCTTGATTAACTGAGGTTCAGTTTGCAAAATGTTTTGATTATGGGCCTAGACGTGCAGGCACCACATCAGTGGAATTAATAAAGGAAGAACACATCTGTGGACAACATTCTGCACAGGGAAATCATACTTAAGAGCATGTAACAGCAGAGCACTGAATGCTGCTAGTGTGGACTTCAGGATCCAAATATTCCTTTCAGAGGTACTTAGATCCATGTTTTCTCTCTGTTTGTGGATAATCCCAACGACACAAAAATGGGGAAGAATCACTAAGACCGTGCAACAGCAAAAATATCACAACGCATCCCTGTGAAAAGTCTCTCAGAGCTGCCTTCTATATTCTCAGTTTTAATTTTTTTACTTTTTAAAATTATTTTACATAAGGCAACACTAAGAATTCCAGCAGAAGACAGATTATAACAATCTACAAATGCACCCACGCAGGTCACAGGCATTCTCTCAGAACAGAAAAAAGGCTTCATGGGAAAAAGATTTGGGAAAAACATTTAAATAAAATTCTATGTACAACTCCACACTTTTAAGTTCTGAAACAAGAGATGACAACTGACAGCATGAGCTTTGTTACTGTCAACCAATAATCCCCACAACTCTCATGCCAAAAGCACATATAAGAAAATACAAGGAAAAAAACTGAGACTGAGGATCCAGACAATATTCTGTGTAAACCTACACATCACACATGGATGTAAAAAGACTCCAATAACCATTTGACTCATGGAAGTATCTTCTGGAGGCATTAAGTGCCAGAGTCGAAACTGTGAACAGCCAAATCAAACCCAAGATGATCAAACCATCCTAGGACAGGTTTTTAACAAGTGAGGGGTGACAAAGTACCAACTGTTACTGAGGAACAGCCTCCAAATCCACAGAGCTGAGGACTCAGCACATACACACATTTGCTTTGCAGAGCAATGCAAAAAAAGACTGACATTTGGAGAAGAGAAGGCAAAACTGCTCTCCCATTGAACACCTGACTTTCCAATTCAGGAAGAAAACACTGCTGAGAGAACATTACCCTGTATTTTTGTAAAGCCATTAATAGACAACGAGGATCTTTCTTTAACAATACAAACAACATCTCAGTCTGGTTTGAAATTCAGCTTTCAGAGAGATGGGTACAGTCTTCATCAATAACACCTGTGATGGCAACATATTCAAGAATAATCATTCTTTTCTGCACATCACACATCAATATGCACCGTTGCTATAGAAATGGTGCTAACAGAACAAAATCTATCAGCCCAGGAATTGCCTGTGTTGGTACAACTACTGAAAACTACAACAGGCATTTGGGGGAGAGCTGGATCTTCTGCCTGTGTCACTGTCCCCTGCAAATCCAAGCTAATTCAAATACAACTCCAACAAAGTGGATGGATGCTGGAACCTTGTTTCAGTGTTTAAGGACAATCAGACAAATTCAGAAGATTTGTCAGTGACCTGTTCAAAGTGTCCAAAACTGGAGACCAACCAAGTGTGTTGGTTTCAACTGAAATCATTCAGAGTAAATGTTTTCATGAAGGAGGACTGTTTATTTTTAAGATGGCATAAAACTTTTTTCTTGTTATCATAACAGAAATGTACAGTAGGCTACAGGGCAATCCTGTGTCTGCCTTGAGTAATAAAGAGACAAATTTATCTGAAGGCCTGAGATTCTGGTAAACCCACCTTACTGCTCTGTGCACTAACAACAACAGTTGAATCACCAGCAAAATCTAAATGTGATTTCAGGTAAATGGACAGTAGAAATGAGAGCCCTGCTGGAGCCATTTCTAAGCCATCTATCTACATTATTGATGAAAGGATCTGCTCTAAAGAAGGAATGACATAATAAATATCTACAGTTTGTATTACTGATTTAGAATACAATGCTTTCCAGAAATACACTGAGATGTAGCACAAGCACTAACCTGAAGAGCACAGCTGGCAAAGAACGAGAACCAACTATGCAAAAACACTAATATACTTCTAATGGTATTAAAGGCAAGCCTCAAATTCTTGTTACAAAACAAGGAGAAAGACAAACTGCACGGGAAAGATTAATGACATGCCTTCAATACAGTCTGTCAAGCAGGATTTCTAAGATTATTCCAGCACTGTGAACTCAGCACAGGATGTTCACAAGTGATATCCTACCCAACTATTTGGATATTTGAGCTCTTCAGTGGATGACTGGATAATTACCACTCAAACAAATCCTTAAGCTTATGAAATGCAGCTGTGTCCATTTCTGCCAAATTAATGAATGCAGACATTAAAAACTGATCCAAGTGCAGGTATGTGCAAGCTGGTCCAAGAGCAGTGACAGAGGCAGCCTGTACTCAATATAGTTTTGACAGAGATTTGGAGGAGAAAGGGGTTTTGAATGTAAATCAACTGTTTTACAGCAGATGAGGGTATTTCTTCTTAAGGAAGTCATGCCATTTAACGGTTCATTTAACTAAAATGAGAATTACATTCACCTTTGTGTTAATCTTTTAACTGATAAAAAGTAAATCTAGAATGCCAGAATGCAAGCAAGTCCACAGCATGAGATGGCAGGATGTTGCAATTAGGAATATAAAACCCATTATCAAGTGACCATTCACTGATGTTAACTGCATCTTTGAAAAGCTCAGACTGGCACCTTCCAAAAGAATCCCTTATGAACTGCTACTTATGTTGGTACTAATGGCCAAAATCTCTAATCTTTGATTGGAAAATGCTTTGCTTTCTTTTCTAGGATGGCCAAAACCATCACGGTGATTAAGTAGTGCAAAGCTCTGGGAAACCACAATTAGAACTAAAAGCAAAGATCCTCAGATCCTGGAACACCAATCAGGTGAGCTTTTCTGTTCCTGGCAACTTCTGTTAGGACACCTCGCAGCAATTCTGCCCTTAATTTAGCACAAAAATCTTTCTTTCCCCCTTCTACAGAGAGGGGATCTTCTGGCCCAGACTAATCAACAGCACTGGTTTAGTCTTAGCAAAAGCTATTAGTCATTCTGGACAAACCAGTGAAAGCCAATTCTTCACCTCATCTAAATGAAAATACAACACTGCTTTGAGACCCTGCCATGCCCTGTATTGCTGCATTAAGAGTTACAGCTACAAATATAAAAAATAAAATTCAATAAAAATATAAAAACTGAAAATTCAGCTACACAAACAAACACATGGCTTGGCTGAGATGAGCATTTTTGCTGTCATGCAAGATTCACCTTGAATAAGAGGAAAAACATGAAAAAAAGGCAATGACTAAGACAGAACTGAAAGGAATAGTTCCTAAGTATTTGCAACGAGTAGCCTAAGTTACAGTTTGGAGAAGGATTTGATCCTGCTTCATCATTATTGACATTACATTGTCCTTGTCCTGGAGGTACATGGAAATCTGTCAATAATAAAATATAAGTGGAAACTGCACACCATAGAGGGAGCAGCCTTGCTTGAAGCAACAAAAAAGCCCCAACGAAGAGAAAGATGTGTTGGAAAACAAGGTGAGGTGGGAGACCTGGACAGGGAACTCAATTAAAAATATACATTTAAACTAAATGAATTAAGATCTTGCAGTACTGTCTCAAAGCCAAGATCAACCATATCAGTGAATTAAAAGAAACAAAACACAAAGTAGTAACTCCTTTTCCCATTCCACACTACCAGGAAGTGAGTTGCCTCTTACCTGCTGAAAGAATGGCTGAAAAAGTCAATACCTTGGCTACACTTTGAAAACCCTTTAATCTTTTAGATTCACATTCAGCCTGCCAAGCAGGGGAGGTTCACGCTGGTCATGCTGTTATTTAAACATAAACGAGAGCCAGCCACATCATAAATAGGGTATTAGTACCTCACTGCTGAAATACTGCTGAAGTCACCAGCCACAACATGGTTAGTGTGTTTTGGCAGGTGATACTTCTGAAACAGCTTTATCACTTAAAAGCAAAGATATTTTAATGACCTGTACAAATTCATCTTTCACTACCTCCAAGACAACAGAGGAAAAACCACCTCAGCAAAACCAGCAAACGCAACTACCAATTTAAATGGAACATTCATGCAGGGCTTTACAGGATCTTTCTGACAGAAGAATCTAGTTTTTTTCACAAACAGCAGGGTAGGGTTTTCCAGGTGAGTTGCGTGTGGCTGATAAACCCCACAAATCTGGCAAAGCCAGCAAACATCAGGCAGCAGGGCTGCTCCACCAGAGACTGCTGCATAAACCAGCTCCCTCACTGAGGAATGAAGCAAATTCAACATCAATTCGCTCCGCTCAACCCACCCCCATCCCCAAAAGAGAACACAATTCACAAATGGCATCTCCAACCTAGGCAAGACCCCTTTTTTCTCTTCCAAGACGTGTTCTCTGATTTTGAGGATTGTTACATTAAAAAAATCAGCCTCCTCAGTATTAGAGACAATGCTAATTGTGAATTCCAAAAGACAGCAATTTTCTTCCTGCAAGCAAAG